ACTTACAAGCGGCGTTCGCGGTCGCTGCCAGCAGCAGCGTTGGCAGCATTTTAAAAATGGCTCTCAATTGCTCGCTGCTGCTGCTACTGCTGCTGCTGCTGCCTTTTCTTCTTCTTCAGTTGCTGTTGCTTCTGTTTTTGGGGACTCTGCTGCGCCGTTGGAAATTGAGAGCTTTTAGTGTTGCCTAGTTAGCGGCCGCGTTTGGAGCCAAAAGCGAAGCGCACGCAATTCAGCTGCCGCTGAATTTATCGCTGATCGTCAGTTGTTGTCAGTTTGGGGCGGAGCCAAATAAATACAAATCGTGCATCTCGCTCGCGCACACTGGCATTGCACAACATTTCAACGGTCGGATGGCTAGCTGGCTGCCTCTCACTCTATTTATAAGCAACCCCCAAAAGAGCAGCAGCAGCAGTAGCAAACAGCCACTGATCGTGTCGATAAAATCGCGTGTGCGCCACAGTTGGCTGTGGCTCAAGTTCATCCATTCAAGCATCCCACTTCCAGTGCTCTGGTTGCTTATTTGATTGGTCGATTGATTTGGCTCGCCTCAATTGCGCCCCCTTCCCCTATTTGTTGTGTGTGTGCGAGGGTTGGGCCCGATCAGCTGCTGCTGCTGCTACTGAAAAATTGTTACAGTTGCTTGCACTGCGTACGCTGAACTCCACTGGAATGGTTCACTGGATCATTGCCTGGAAATAAATAAACAGCTGAAACAACGGTTAATCTTATTTTCTTTCTTTTTTTTATTGTTGTCGTTGCTTGCCACAAGTAGTTATTAGTGGTGTGTTGAAAGTTTATAGGTGCAATTGGTTGCGTTGGAAGGCGATCATCGATCGAAGGCAAACTGATATTTTTAATATAAAAACCGGAGGCGAAATTAAATTAAGTGAATCGTATTTAAAAATCGTATTTAAAGAGTGAGATTGATTAATTGATTTTTAGTTAAATAATTGAGCAAATTAATGAATTTCAAATACAAATTTATTTATTTAATTGCAATCAAGCTTAGATTTCAATCATTTTCTAGATGATTAACATGATTTTTAAATAAAATTTGTATTGCAATTATTTTGTGTATTTCGTTTTTTCCTTTTCCAATCGATAGCAAGTGAATCAGGTTATTCGATTACAATGCTGGCGTGGGCGTGGTAGGGGCTTGCAAGGCACCTACGTCGGCTGGTCCTTTTATGGCCACTTGCGGGGCGGCTAATCGCCCAAAATATTTGTTAGGCGTGCTGCATAATCCGGCCCGATTGACTTTCATAAGTAAAGGATTAAGATTAAGCGCATCCTGTGACCTGCCAAATGTTTATGTGGTTTGCTACCTCTGACTCTGAGTGGGTAGGTGGGTTGCTTGGCTGGGTGGTTACCTGTGCGCAATATTTAACTTAGATTTTTACCACGGGGTTTCTTAGATGGCAGCAGAAGCAAAAAATAAACGCAAAAGGCGATCATAAAAAAGGGTGGCCCAGCAGCTGTTTGTTTCTCCCTGCTTCTAGTTAACAGGTAAAAGGCCCAATTATGTTTCAGCGTTTCTTTCTCGCTCTCTCTCTTTCACTATCACTCTCTCTCTCTCTTTATCTCTCTCTCTCTCGCTGGATGCGCGTGTGTTCGATGTGCGCAGCTTCTGTGCAATCGCATTGGAGATCAGCGGGTGCTGAATGAGCCGTGCAGCGAATGCCATGGAAAGCGACAGGAGTAGAATTAACAAACGCACGTACAACACAGACAGCACAGACAGATAGACAGACAGACTCAACAGGAGCGTTGCGAATTCGCTGGAAAACCTCGCAAATGGCCAGCGAAGTCAGTTGCAAAATCAAAGCCTTGCTGGTCTTTGACGAGTGTCCTTGTCGCATGCTAACTACAACTAACTAGTAACCTATAGCTACACAGCTATCCGTTAAACGCTCTGCGCTCTGGCAATCGGTCGTCCTTGCCAAGTTCCCCGACGCGCACAGCAAGCGGGCGCACACGCAGCATTCTTTCTGTCGACGGCGACGGCAACGGCGATGGCGACGTCGACGCCAGCGTCGCAGTTTATTGGAAGTGTGCGTGTACTTTCCCAGCGATTACCCCTCGCGACTCACCACTCACCCCTCACCAGGCACCGTTCACCCCACACCACTTTGCCACTTGCCACCCGCTGCGAGGCGCGTTCGCGCGACATTTTGGTTGGCTCGAGCAACAAGCCCGGACACAATCTTAACTCGCACTTGAGTCGTCATCCCCTCACCCATCCCCAGAGAAGTTTGCCTGCCCCTCATTGTGGTTGCCCTGCCATAACCATTCGCTGCTTGCCATCTTGCCACCCACCCCAGCCACGACCCTTTTTGGCTGTGTCTGTTTTGTGTGCAACATTTGTGGCCTCGTTTTAACTTGGTCGGTGCTCCGCAATTTTTTGGGTTGCTGCGGGTTTGATTTGTCGTCCTGTAACCAAGAGAGGCTGCTGTTAAAGGGGGGCGACCAACAGATACAGTGGCACCTCCACAAATTTAAATTATATTCAATAGGCTTCTGTTTTGACTACATTGTAATTTAGATTTGTTTTTTGGAAACATGTATTGATCAACTAAGGACATCAAATATTAAAAAAATACATTGAATTGTTCGAAATAAAATCGATTTCTGGCAACACTTTTCAAAATATCAAAGCCCAATTCTGCTAAAAACTAAAAAATAATAATTTAGTAAGCAAATCAAAATTCTATTTCAAAACTGAGTTTTTTGAATTCACGTCTACATTTTTAGATTGAAAAGGGATTTTCCGCAATTTTGCAAGTGGTTCAAAAACTTAGAATCTAAATAATAAATAAATAATAAAGAACTGCAAGTATAAGACTGCAAATTATGTCTAAACACTATATTTCTATGTATTAAATGTACAATAAAAATATTAAACAAGACAAATTTTAAGTATATTTGTGTTTTCAAATTGTTTTCATATTTTATTATAAAGTTTATCATACCTGTGGTATACTTTAATATATGAACTATAGATCTATGCAGAATTAATTTATTTCATTATATTATGGTCAGTAAAACCAACAGACTTATGTATATCCTCTAAAATTTGATGCACTGTAGATTGTGATTCGTTCCGTAAGATTAGCTCAGTCCAAGAAGGATCAAGGATGACTTGAACCAACTAAGATTGCGATTTGAATAAATCACTTCCGTCAATATGGGCGGGATTATGGCTGATCTGATAACAGATCCTTGGGTCAGGTCCAATCCGCTGATTATTCTCAATTTTCTTCAAAATTGCCTTTGAATTCTTTTTTTTGTGTCGATCTTGTGATATGAACGCCACTGCTGAATGCCCCACTTTGCGTGGCCTTTGCCACCGCTCTACCTGTGGCACGTTAATTTCCACCGATTGAGCAGGGCCTCTGCCTAGTTTTTGGCCGGGCACAGTGGGACCATGGGGTGCCTACACACGCGCGCAGTTGGAACTGTTGCATGCCGCCGCCGTCGCTGCCGCTGATGATGTTGAAAGTTACGTGCGTAAGAAAACCAAATTTTCCAGCCAGCGACCGCTCGTTGTTGTCGCTCAGAGAGCAGCCCCGGCCTGAATGCAACAGCAACAGCAGCAGCACATCCAGCGAGACAGAGAGGGAGACAGACACAGAGAGAGAGAGAGATAGAGAGGGGGAGAGGGAGAGGGATAGAGAGAGAGCAATATGCGTGATTCCTTAGCATTTGTTTTTCTTGCTTTTTTTTTCATAAAACCCCAACGAGTGTTGGTTGTTGTGATTTTTTATTCTTCATTTGTAATTTTTTTCAACGTCCGCCTGCGCCTTTCCAATATGCTCAGAGAGCCAACTCGCGCGCGTTCTCTCTCTCTATCCCTCTCCCACTCTCGCTCGCGCTCTCTCTGTCCGTCTCTCTCGCAATGGCACATTTTTATTTTGCTTCCAATGATTTTTTTTTGCCCTCTTCGCTTTGGTGTTTTCTGCTGCTGCTTCTTTTTTTTCGTTTGTCGGTTTGACCGCGCGCCCCTGGCCACAAGTAGCAGAGGCAATAGCAGCAACAACACACGCCTCTGCCTCTGCCTCTGCCTCAGTCGCTGCTGCTGCTGTTGCTGCTGCTGCTGCTGTCGACTTCCCTTATTTCTTGCTGCTGCTGCTGCTGCTATTGTTGCTGCTGGCCGTGTGTTTTTCTGTGTGCGCGAGTGTACACCGCAATGGAAAAATGGGAAATTTTTACTGTGGTTGTTGTTGTGGCAATGGTGGTTGATACCTGCCCCGGTCACCACCGCCACCGCCGCCGGCTGCCACTGCACCCTTAGCCCATACACACACACAAACACACACACACATGCACAGATGATAGGTAAGCGAACGAGCCAACCAAACCACGCAGCGCAGTCCTGAATTGCTGCAGCGAGTGCGAGCGAGCCGAAGCTATTTGGGCCAGCATGCAAGTGGAAGCGAGCGCGACTCAGCCGTCTTGCAGCGGCGAGACAGCGACGCCGGCAGCGGACAGCGACGGGCAGCGCATTCTACTTTAAATACTGGCAACGATCGCAGTTGAGAAACAGTTCACACAGCGACTTTAACGTGTCGAGAACGCAACGCAGCCAGTGAAAGCGAGCGAGCGAAACCAGATAAACACACTACACAACAACAACATTGTTATTCGCCGCGTTTTCGCCAAAACAACAACATCCGCCCCACCCCCTCAAAAAAGAAAAAAAAAACACCCAAGTGAAACTCGATTAACAACAATCAATTGCCATTATTTTTAAAATTGATTCGAAAAAACATTGAAAAACTTACTTTTTTTTTCACGTGTGTCCGCAGTGCAAAAGAGAGCGAAGGAGAGAGGGAGAAAATTAGAGGAGACAAAAGAAAAGCGTGAAAAGCAGCGGCATTGCCAGCTAGCGTGCAAAATATTAAGTTTTTTTTTTTGTTTGTTGAAATAAGAAAATTACAATAATAAGAAAAAAGGAAAAGGATTACACGAAACGCAACTTGGATAAACTCGACATTTTTTTTTTGAGCACGTGCAGAGAACAACCCCTCAACAACTATAACTGTGAAATATGCATTTGCCCGCTGGACCCACAATGGTGGCCAATACGAGCGCCCACACGCAGGTGCTGGCCGCCGCAGCAGCAGCGGCGGCAGCGGCAGCAGCGGCCACAAATGTTGGCCATCCGGGCAACATTAGCACACATTCGGCCAGCAGCACCGGCAGCTCCACGCCCGACAACACCAACAACAACAGCAGCAACACCAGCTCCAACAACAACAACACAAGTAGCTCCAACAACAACAGCAGCAACAGCAACAACAACAATTCGAGCTCCAACACGAGTGCTGCAAGTGCGGCGAACTCGGCGAAAATGCCCAGCTCGATGACGGACATGTTTGCCAGCCTGCACGAAATGCTGCAGGAATATCACGGCGAATTGGCTCAAACGGGCTCACCCTCAATCCTGTGCAGCGCACTGCCAAACCATTGGCGCTCCAACAAATCGCTGCCGGGCGCATTCAAAGTGATCGCCTTGGATGATGTTCCCGATGGCACCCTCGTCTCGATCAAGTGTGGCAACGATGAGAACTATTGCGGCGAGTTGCGCAATTGTACGACAACGATGAAGAACCAGGTGGCCAAGTTCAACGATCTGCGATTCGTTGGCCGCTCCGGCAGGGGCAAATCCTTTACGCTGACCATCACCATTGCCACGTATCCGGTGCAGATAGCCAGCTATAGCAAGGCCATCAAAGTAACGGTCGACGGGCCGCGGGAGCCAAGAAGTAAGCAAAGTGAGTTTTTTAGTTTCCATTACAGTTTTCAGTTCTCTCTCCTTCCCAGACCCAACCCTCCCCGTCCACTCAACCACAAAAGCATCCTCTTCCCAAATCAAGATTATCCAATTTTTACAAAAAAAATGAAAAAAGAAATTGTGTTTTTTCAATTTTACTAATATTTATTTATTTTTTGTTTGTTTTTTTTTGCGTGGTTTTGCAGGCTATGGCTATCCACATCCCGGCGCCTTTAATCCCTTCATGCTGAATCCAGCGTGGCTGGACGCTGCCTATATGACATACGGCTATGCGGATTATTTCCGCCATCAGCAGGCCGCTGCGGCAGCAGTGCATCATCCGGCGCTCTCCAAGGCGGCCACCTCGCCCAATGGCAGCGTCAGCGGTGTCGTCTCCCCAGCGATGCCAAATGCTGGCGCCTCATCGGATTATCCGCCACCGATGCCATCGGCATCGTCATCGTCGTCGTCGATTGTGCCGCCCGCCTCGATGATGCCATCGCCGCCCGGTGGCGCCCCAGCTGCTGCGTATGCGATGCCACAATTCCCGTTCAATCATGTTGCCGCCGCGGCAGCCGCAGCGGCGCATCAGAGCCAGAAATCAACGCCGCATGCCTTCCATCCGTACAACTTTGCGGCGGCGGCGGGTTTGCGGGCGCGCAATGCGGCCGCTGCTGCACTGCATCATGGCGGTGTGCCAGCAGATGCCGCACACATGAGTCCTGCATCATCGCGACCATCGAGCTCCTCGCCCACGCCCATGCCCACGCCCACGGCAACGCCCCATGTGCTGCTCAAGTTGAACACATCGATTGAGACGAGCTCCATCCACGAGCAGTCCGCCTCCGATGCGGATTCCGATGACGAGCAGATCGATGTTGTCAAATCTGAATACGAACTGGACAAATCCATCGATTCTACGCGCAGCTCACCCACACACCACATCTCTGTTCCGCTTCGCATGCGCTGCGATCTCAAAGCACCCTCTGCCCTCAAGCCGCTCTACCATGAAACGTCTGCTGCGGCGGCAGCAGCGGCGGCAGCAGCAGCAGCGGCAGCGGCAGTGGCTGCTGTTGTTCCACGCCAAGCATCGCCAGAGACGACGCTGCCGGCGGCAACAAAGCTGAAGAATGCCGTCGTCCAGCAGAAGACTGTGTGGCGGCCTTACTAAAAATAAATCACATACACAAAGCACACATCAAGAAACACACACAGATAGACAGACAGCGTGATAGTTGAATTGAGCAGGATGAAGGATTAAGGATGCAGGCGCAGAGCGGCAGCAACATTGTGATATAGTCATATAAGTTAGACACGTCCACAGCAGCAGAGCAACAGCAGCACAAACAGAGAGCTAAAGGATCAACTCAAAACTCCGGCCGGCAAACGGAGTGTGGAGCAGGATAATGGAGGGGAATACGCAGCAAATGGCGGGCAAAGGAATCGGATTTTTCTTCTTTTTTTTCTTTGGGAGAGGGATCAATGAATAACAACAACAAAAGTGCATCGAGCTCACTCGAAGTTTTATGCTCGAGACATAAAGTCGTGCGTCGAGTTCGCTACACACACACACACCCAACACACACACACACACACACACACACACACACACACACACTCACACACCCACTGAAACACACAAGAAAAAAGATAAAATTGCAAAGGATAGTTAGGCAAATTCATCTAAAATTTCTATCGATCGCCATGCGGCGAACGTCAAGGAAAACGTTAAGAAACAGAACGCCCATCGTCCCCTCCCCCGTCCGCCACCCCTTTTCACAGACTTCCACAACTTTAGTTCAGTTTTATAATTTTTTTTTGTTTTTTATACACACACACACACACTTAGCCATTTTAATTTTTCATTTAAACAAAAGTTAGTCTAGAAAAACCATACTAAATTATTTTTATTTTGATTTTTTATTTTTTTATATTTTTATTTACTTTTCACTACACTAACTTTTGAATGTTGTCTTGTAAATAGAAGCGATATATATATATATATATAAATATCTAAACATACATATAGAGAGTTTTTTTTCTTTTTTTTTAAACAATGCGAATTTAGCTATTGATAATGTTTAAGTTATTAGCCATGTAAGAACAAATGAGCAAACAATTTTTTTGTATAGCTTTAAGTTTTAGCGCGAAAAAATTAACACAAACGAATTTCTGAAACCAAATAAAAACAAACAAAACAAACGAAAATTATTGAAACAAAATATCAAAAATTCAACTTGTCTTTCTTACTTATTATGCCATCAAATATTCCAGATTAAAATCATGATTTAAGTATGGTAACGCAATAGAGAATTCCCCAATTTAATTAATAACTATCAGAAGACAAAAATATCTACTAAATGCTGCTTTTTAAATTCCTTATCATTTTAGTGATCAATTCAATTTCAATACAGATAAGATTGTTGAGTAATTTTTTATTATTTTATATTAGTCATATTCGCAATCAAATTTAAGGGGAAAGCACAATTTTACTTTGCTATCACTTGAAGATGTAAAATAATAGCAGAGCATCAGCAATAAATTTGAGAGTGGTATTTATTATAGCCAAAGTTAATCGGAACAGTCCACAATCATTTATAGCCAATTATCAATAAGCAAATTATACTTAATCCATCTTGTTAGTTAAAAGAATGATTAACATAGAGCTACCATATCACACCATGAAATTAATCGGTCAAATATTGTTTTTTTTGCTGCTTATTCAGGTAAATAAATTTTTTCCATTCAAGATTTCTATTCATCGCTTTTCTCCTGTGGTTTTTTAGTAGTTGTTTTTAGGCATTTTTGCGCAACCTTGAGTTAGTTGCCCTGTTTCGCTATCAATACCCACAAGCGTATCCTCAATGTGCTGACATTACCGCCTGCAGCTCCCTAAATATGTCTTCCTTTCCTCTCCTGTCAACCATTTTAGTCTCAATTCATCTGTTGGCCAATTGTCCCGAATTTAAGGACATTGGTAACCTCAGCGTGTTCAATAGAAATCGATAATGGCAATTAAAACGCATAATTAGTGATTATGAGGACAAGCCGGGTGGTCAGCAGCTATGCAATCTCTTCGCCGAGTCCGGCTCGTCCTGGCTATCCAGCTCAGTGTGATTGTCCTATTTGTCCTGGTGTTGTATCAGCATGTGCATTTTTAAATAACATTTACACCATTAATTAGCATGCAATCCCATCATTTTCACACAGTGCGTTTTACAGACACAGAGAGGACATCGCTCAAGGGCATCGTATCCTGTAGTCCTGCATTGCAATTTGACCAACCGCAGTGCATTTTTGTCACGACCAGACCAGGAGAAGAAGGAAACGTTAAGGGAACCAGGACATGGCTCAACTCGTAGGAATAGATATTTCAATTGGTTAGTCAAGTTGTTGCCCACAGCTGTTGACAGACACATATATATATATATATATATTTATATATATATACTAATTTCCTAGTACTGAGCGAGCATATTTGGTTTCGAAGCAGCAACCCTTATTTGATAATAAGGCTTGTTAAAACATTTTCTTGTCACGCCCATCATTTTTTTTCTTTGCCTATAGGCAACATTCTCAGCTTATTTTTTATATTATTTGAAAGCCTTATGTGTAGTTATTTTAAGGATAATAATACCTGAATTACTTCTTAAATTCCCCCTTTTTAATTGTTTTAATTATTTGTCTATTTTCATTATTGCCTCAAATATTATTTAAGGGATAATGCCAACTACCTTTAAGTATTTTGCTCCTCCTCTTATTTTGACTAATTTAACATTATCCATTAAGTTTTGTTTAAGTAACAATGATTTCCATTCTGCAAAAAGAAATAATTTCGCTGAACATCATCTTCATATATATTTGATATTATATTCGTACTCAAAGTACGAAAATTGTATTTTTTGAATTTTAGATCGTTTAACATGCACATCAATCCGATTCTTATTTCGATATATTGTTTACCTTGAAGATAGTTATGAGAATGTTGATAATTTGATGGCTGCTAACTTTGAACTGAGCTGATGAAATTATTTACACTGCACTTGCAAGAAAAGGAATGCGAAATTACATTTTTGATCTCAAGATTTCAAATCATCATCAAATTCGATAACTGGTCGCGGTTTCTGTGGCGGCTCTGAATTGCAATCGGTAAAGTTTTGGTTAGTAAAGTTCCAGTTCCAGTTTGGCATCCTGCTATAAAATTAATTTTTTATTTTGGGCATGGAATACTATTTAGTTGGTGTTACCGCTAACTCTTGCTCTCTCTTTCTCTCTCTCTTAATGCCAACTGGCGTCATTATTGCTCAAGATTATCGTATTCCATGCATACATATTAAATATCTGACTACTGTGCGTATTTCGCTTTTAATCAATGGAAAATTTACATTTTCACAATGTGTTTTACACTTTTCTGCATGTTTTTGCCAGCTTTGCAGTTTTTTTTTTTTTTTTTTTGTTTTTGCTGTATTTCGATGCAATTCGGTTGCGCGTTAAAATGTTGCAGTGGTTGTTGTTGTTGCTATTTTTCCTTTTATTGTTAAATGCTGTGCGTGGCAAACTATTTGACTATTTAGCATTGGTTGTTGTTGTTGGTGCTGCTGCTGCTTTTGTTTTTGTTGTTATTCGGCCACCGCCGCAACTGAGGTTGACTGTGTGATTGTTGGCGGCGGTAAGAGAAAAACTGCGAAAGTCAAAAATGCATACGCACACACACCCACATACACACACACACACACACACACACAGAACATATGTGTGTGTATGTGTACATTGGGCGTACTGAGAGGCGAAAAACCACGCAACGCAGCCCTCGAACGCCATCGAATAAAACGTAAATGAAAAGAAATCAACTGAAAATATGTATAAAAAAAAACAAATAGGTAAGAATGATGTAGTCGAGAGAGCTCGACTAGAAGATACCCAGCCGATTTTTTACAGGTGATTAATATTATAAACATTCTCCATAATAATATATATCTGTAAAGTTGTGGCTTTTATTGCAATCGGAAATCGATTATAATCGATATTGGGCAAACTGCTTAACTTATCTATCAACTATGAAATAAACTTATTTCTGCGATATCTGCGAGAATATTCATCTTCAAATCGATCGAAAATGCTTCCCTATGCCTGTATGTACCCATTCTGCCCCTTTTCCATGGGTTCAGGGTACACAGAGAAAAAAAATTGGTCGAGCATTGCAATGGAAAATGGTTGGTCAGAAATTACAAACAGCGCATCAGTGGAAATTGGCGAAAGTATGTAGTATGGCTGTACGGTTGGGGCGGTGAGATGGGGGCAGGCACAAACAGACCTGCCCCTCCTCTCCTCTACGCTCACCACATCCGCATTCTCCCCCCATTCAAATTACAAACGAAATGAGAGTTTTCGGGCGCCTGACATTGGAAAATGAATTGCAATCGCCTTTGTTCGCATAATTACACTGCAGCCAGTCAGGCTTCATTAGCTAAGACATTTTACATTTTTTGGTTTAGTATTTAAAGTATTTTATCAGCACTTATAGCTAATATATATATCCTGACTGAATACACTTTAGTATTGATTTTATTTCAAATATAATTATAAATATATCCAAATTAAAGCTTGCTCAAAATGGTTTTTAAATTTGTATTTGTCATTTATATAGTGTATAAAGATATTGGTTTGTTATAGCATTAAAAATGTACTTAATTTCGTTTTTTGTTGCATTTTTGGTTTGATTTTTGCTTAATTTAGCACTAATGAAATGCGACTGGCGACGCTGATTGCATGTGGCCTAGTCCTGTCCCGTTCCATGGCATCCCTCCCAGCCCACCATTACCCCTGCACCCACCGGCATCCGTTTCACCCGCCACAAAATGAAGTGGATTTTGGCCGCATGTCACGCAAGCGAAGTCAATTGTCTGGGCAACTTTAAAGCTGTTCGGTTTACAATTTAAATGCCAATGTTGGCGATTTGTAACTTGTCACTAAACGCCACAATATCTCTGCTACTAGTAGCAATCGACTAAGAAATAGATGTAGGCTGAGCTGGGGTAGGAAGAGCAGACGTGTACTTATCTGGGCCGCCTATGGGTTCGCGGTTAGCCCGCATGGGGTTGGTCACTCTTAATGATTATTATGTGTTGTTGTTTTGTTCCTTTTTTGTTACTTTTATTTCTAATGCGCTTAGTTTGGTTTTAGAAAATCAAGAGCCCAGCTAATTAGCCGCTTGTCTGTCTGTGTGTGTGTGTATTTGGAAGAGGCGCCATAATCCGCAATAGCTGAGATTTGGTCTACCTTAGCTTAGCTGCGAAGTCGATGTTGATATCGATATCGATACGACTAGCTTAGCAACATCGCATAAATCCACACCATACCCCAACCACAAAACATTTACACTCGCCCTTGCCGCTTAATCATCATCATCCACATCCATATACCCACTGTCACAGTCCGTGTTAAAAGTCAACGGCCACGCCATTCGAATTGGACTTGAAGAT